CAGCTGGGGACCATGGGGACTGCCCTGCAGCATCTGCCACATGAAGCAGTTGCCTCTCCCTGCCTTGCGGCAGGGCTGGTGTTTTTTCACACACACTTTCAGGCATGGCACATGTATGGTCTGTCACAGAGCTGTGGGGCCCGAGTCTAGAGAAACAGAAGCCCATTCTGTGTGCACAGAAGTGAAGGCAGCAGCGAGACCAGCCCCAAATTAACCTCTGAATAACATTTTTCTCTTCCGTTTTCAAATCTATTCTTTATTTCATGTGCATTCCAGGTGCCTCGCCATGAGCTCCTACTGTCACCTTGTGGTCACAAGACTCACAGCATATTTTCAAACATAAGGTATCTCTCAACATGGTTGCTCTTTAGGAATATCTAATCCACCTGCCTATCCAGGGAGCAGCAATTATTTTTCTCAGTTAAGTTACATTAATTTCCATTTAGTTATGTACATAACTGGACTTAAATTACAGGCTCAGAATGATTTATGCACGCACATGCGCGCGCACACACCCTACAATATTAAGCTGTTTTGAAGAGTTTATGTAAACCTCACAAAAAGAAAGCACATGTATTTATCATTATTTATAATAATGATAAGATATCCCACCTTTTGACTGAACTGTCCATCAAGACTGTAACAATACATATACCTATACACAAACTTGAGGGTCACCTAACCTACTAGCCCTCACTCCCCTGACCAGTGGATGGGGCTAGAATGCCATCCAGATAGGAAGTTCTAATTCCTATCAGCCCCAATTATGATGCGAGTTCTTATCCATCTCACAACATGGAGGGAGGTGGGGAAATAGAGCAAAACACAGGGGGTGGTTAGTCATGCAACTTCCTGGGTGACTTTAGGTCAGGCATAAACTCTCTACCTAATCCAGCTGACCAGGTTGTTGTGAAGATAGAATGGAGAACCTTGCAGGCTGCCATGGGTTCCTTGCAAGGGAAAGACAGACAGAATACTCCTTCTCCTACTCCTCCTAATAACATTAGACCCCCAAAAACTTAGAACTTGCCTCTGCCTCTTGTGGGCTTCAGTTATCTCCTCAGGCCCATCTTCCTAAACCTGTACTGTGTGAAGTAAGGATTGACATTTGAGACACAGGGCTCATATAATTGCCCCACAGCCTCCTCTCAGCAGTGTGTGACTTTTCTTCCTTTTTAACTTTCAGGCAGGAATGGAGGTTACATCTTTTTCATTGGCTTGCATTGCTTCTAGCTAGTCTGTCAGCACTTTTATCTGAACCACTGCTTAAGCTGTGTGGTTATTATGAAAGACCTCAATGCACCTATATTTTTCTAAGTACTGTACACTCTAAAAGATGAGGTGGTGCCTCCCAATCTCACGAACATGGTAACAAAGGAAAAATGGGGAAATCAAGCATTGGAAAGCTACTCCTTCACTGTCTGGCAGGTGGGGCTATGTTGGCCTCCCTCTTATGTTCTCCCTCTTTTGGACCCTTGGCTGGTGGCAGAGACCAGAATATGATTTCTTTCTGCACTGCAGTCCAATGGCAACAGCCAGTTAGAACCGAGTATTCCATCTGTTAGGGAGGAGGGAAGTAGGCTTCATACATCTACTGCTGCCGTACCGGTTCATGGATGGGACCAAGTTGGTTTAACCAACTTCAATAGTTACAGTGAACTACCTTCTGCTGTGCAGAAACAGTCAGCTATCCAAAGTAGGGATGCACCAAGATGGATAGCAAATCCTACTTTATGCCAGTGCTGCTACAGCAAGTGTTGGGAGCTCAGTGGAGGGCAAGTGACCATTGTTACTGGTTATAATCTGTCTTCTTTCCTCCTGTGAGCAGTCCAAATGCTTCTCTTCATTTTAATCTCACAGCAACCATGCAACCCATTTCACAAGTTCACAGGTCCAGCTCTTCACTGGCTGTGTGCTAACCCAGGTGCAAGCAGCGTGTTGGTATAGCTTTGATCAATGTACAGCATGCAAGAAAGAGGTAGGTTCAATAAATGGAAGATATTGACCCTAAAAGAAGAAAATAAGTATTCAAATAGAGGTAGGAAATCCCCAGCCACCAGAAGGGGCAATCAGGGCAGCCACACCCAGATTCAGCCGTGGGAAGTACAACATAATACAGGAGAAAAAAAACTAGAGAACAGGGATGGGTGATTTCTACCCCACCAAAGTTTGAATTGGACTAATACTTCAGTTGCGTCCTATTTCAGTATACAGAAAATCGGATAATACTGATTATATTGATCTTTCTCATTTGGATCACACAGATGTTATGGGGGAACCAGTACGATGATAGCTTTAAGTCTTTCAGACATACAGAAACCAGAGTTAAAATACATTTGAGCTCCTTTCAAATTGCATGGGTTGATGAGTTGCAAGAGTAAATTCAAGCAGCTTCCTGTTTTCTCAACACACAGTACACACAGTACTTGGGTTAAAGCCAAGTAATATTTTGATGCATAAGTTGCCTTGGGGGGCCCTCTTGTGGGCTACACTGTATTGAGAAAGTCTTCTTTATGAAAGACTGCCTTCTTTTGAACCTCTGAACCAAGTGACAATGGAAAGATCAGAAGAAAGCAATATATTGTTTTGGGGGAACAGGCAAATTTGAAAGAAATCTGCTTCTCTCATCCACTAAAATGGCTCTTCCTGCTGGGAACTGCATGGGGAAATACAGCAGTTTTATGGACCCATGAGAGCCAGTTAGGATATAAATCATCTTCCTCCCTTTCTGTCTGCTGTGTAACCAGAGGGCAAAACAGCCCCACTTTTAACAGACCCAAAAGAGAAGGGTCGAGGATGAAGGTGTACAGAGAACAATATGGTAGCACATTTGGGACTTCAGACCTTCAGGACAGCCCTGTGCCTACAACGTTCAAAAGTGGTTCACAGCTGTTCAGATGACATAATGCCAACAATCATTCAGAATTACACAGATGAGCCGATGCTCACAACACTGTTTTGCTTAGTTATTTCCTGGTTTTACAAAGATGTATCAGAGTTGCATCAGAAGCAGCAACTATTTTGTGTTTGCCCCTCAGAAACTGCTTCAAACTGGCAATTTGCAAGACTAGTATCAAAGAAAGTGTAAAACAAAGTTTCTCTTTTGGATCAAACAGGATGGTATGGTTTGGGTAACTCAGGAACTAATTGAAATGGAGCACAAATAGGAGAGGTCAGGACAGAAGTTGCTCCTACACGAGGACAAGATGTGTGGGTAAAAGCTTTTACCCAGATTTGTTCTCCTTTTCCGCTCATTTGGCCAAGATGATGGTGATAAACTCACCTTGTAAAAACAGAAACAAGGTTGAAGATAACACACAAAGTGCTCTAAATTAGCAGTGAATGTATTTTGAGGTTTCCTTCCCATCTCCTTTAGATTGTGTACCTAGATAACCCTGATTACAATGCCCCTTGTTCGGGCAAAGTCTCCTGAAACCTTTTCCTCTACCCACTCTTGCAAGCTAACCCAGGGCTTTCTTCTTCCATCCTAAGAGTGCCATGGGATCAGATTTACTTAATCCTTCTCTTTGACCTTGTTACACTCACAACCCATCATAGAGCAGTATAGATTGCTCACACACATGCTTGCTTTAAGCACAGGGGCCCTTACAGTCAGCTCCTGAAGAGAGCCAAGATCAATTTCCCTGTAGTCCACTGAAGATTTATGCACACGTGTATGTTTTGATTCATGAACATTCTACTGTTAATTTCCCCAATTAATATGTGTATCTCTTAGGGTTTTTTTAAATAAATTCCCATTCTAAGAGAAGCTTGTATGTGCACAAAGACATATGGACCATTTGGTTCCTTCTGCCAGACCACCTCTTGCCAAAATTTAAAGACCCCTTAAGAGTACAAACCCAGGCATGCTCAAACAGAAAACAATGTTACAACTTCTTGCATTCCTCAGCCAGGATTGTTTTTTTCTGCTGAAACATGCACTGGATCCATCCTTAATGAACTTTTATTGTAACAATGTGAGAAATTTTCTGCGCATGTCTAGAGGAACACATTTAGTAGCACTTTCTAAAGCAGTGTTTTCAGATAAGTGAATCCCTGCCTGCATTCTAAAGTGGTGGAGTATTTCTTATATGCTTTAGGGGAAACACTTCTGTAGCAAAATTGATGTGATGACACAGACAGTGGAGCACACACCATGCAGTGAATGCTCAGTTGCAACTCTGTAAGGAAGCCTGTCTGTACACTTGTGTGTAAAATTACCTCTATGAAGCATCTCTTGGCTATGGTAAGCACATCTGTTCTTGGGGTTTCTTTTTGGCAGCAACCCAAACAGCTGCAACAAAACTACTTTGCTGAAAAAGTGAGTAAGCAACTTCAGCAGAAATGCAAGTCGCAGAAAAGATTCTTTCATTTTGCCCTTCAAATTAATGCCTACTCTCTACAACGATCTGCCTGCCTTTGCATGGATAGCTGTCAAATAGTGCTACTAATACAATTTGTATTAGAATTCTTTTCACTGTAGCAGCAGTGGGAGGTCTTGTTATTGTTGGGCGTAAGGCTGGATCCAGATACAGGACTTGTGAAGATACCTTGTACAGCTGTTCTGTTTTTCCCTCCATTACAGATATTGTGACAAGAAAACAAAAGTGCTGGGAAAGGACAGGAAGGTAACAAATGGAAGATGAAGTCTGGACTTGTTAACATTTTGTGAATGAGATGCAGTGAAATCTCCTAAATAGATATATCCTGGTTTCTCACATAACCTGCTGTTGCACAGAACATCCTGTTAGAAAGAAACTTGTCTTTTTCCTTTTGGTAGTCAGAATGCAATTCTGAACTTCAGGTTCCCTCTGAACACACCCTTTGGAAACTCCCTTTAACTCATTTGTTGGAGGCAAGGTTAATCTTTGAAATGGTGTATGCCAGCAGCACAAACAAAAATTACACAAACAATTTTCAAATCAATAGCCACGCAGCAACATCCTGACCATCAAAGTATATTCAAATGTGCTCAGAAGATGAAACAAGAACAACAGGAATATTTGCAAAAACCATGTTTGTATTTACATCAACATGTAATAACATATTCCACTAACATCATAAATTAAATGACTTGCATGGTGTCTACAGCTCAACAACTTATGGGGCTCACAATTAAAATAAATCAAGGTGGAAGGAAATAAATATAACAAATCAACAACTTGTACCAGTATATTCATTTCTATTGCCAACAAAATAATAATAAGGGGGGTACGTGGGGGAACACAGTAGTATCCCATAGTTAATACTGATGGGCAAAACCTACTTTGGAAAACAGGGTTGTAATCTACAAAGTACTGCTGTTGCAAATCCTCCATTTGGTTTCAACAGGATTTGTAAAGTACTTCCCTGTGGAAGTGTTTGATGAACTGTACCCCAGGGCTGCACAGAAGGACCGCTTTCATGTTACCTTTCCAGTGTGGGAAGTTTCTTCTTCCTGTGCTGCTAAGGGAAACCCTGGACCACCTGCAAAGAACCCACACTGTGGCTCCTGCTCCCACAAATGTCAGACTTCCTGAAATCTCATCCAATACTGGCATGGTAGGAGCAAATGCAAGAGCCAGGACTTTCGATACTGCCTTGGCAGGGCAGGAAGAAGCTTGTGCTGCACAAAAGATAACGCGAGATGTCCCATGTCTGCATTTTTCATGCTCATCCAAATGGAAGAGAGCCTGAGCCTGAAAGTTTTAGAAAGACTACACCAACACAAAGAGATTAAAAAACCCTAATTCAACATAAATCTGGTCTTATTTCATTGCTTATTAAGATCATTTTCTTTCTTTTTTTTTTAAAGGCAGCAAAGAGAGAGACAAGTTATAGTATGCATCCAATAAGACTCATTGAAAGGTCAGGCAAAAATAGATTAACCATCTTCCAAGTGTATTCATCTTCAAAAAATAGGCTATAAAAGTGCAAAACTAGGAAAAGAAATCTAGGTTTTATGTACATATGGCTCAGCTTATGAACAGGAAAAGGGTAAATTGTGTACAATTTCCTGATAGAAAGCACTTCATTACATTGCCCAGTTTTACAGAGACATCAAAGTTACATATTCCTTAATACATAGGAAGTAAGACATTTGTTTAAAATGTCTCCAAGTTGCATACTGGGATGTGGGAAAATCTCCAAGAATATCTAGGCTCTGCTATTTTACATCTGATAAGAAACACACATTCAACAGTGCAAAACAAAATTTTGAAACCATTTTTGTCCTGGAAACTTTTGGATATCAAACTCAAACTTAACACCCAAACATTAAATTGTCATTGAAGGCTTTACAAGATGCATAGAATGTCCATCTCCTTAACTTCTTAGCTGGCAAGAGGCAATTCTTGTATTCAGTATTCACTCATATAGAATTAAAAAAAACCACATGGGTTTGCAAAAATATTAACTGCTTGATGAACACCCCAAGCCAACTTTGATATGTGCTGGAGGATATTAGTGAGATCCCACCTCTTAAGAGGGTTTGGAAAACACAGTGCTGGTCAACACTAGAATGTGCAAGTTGCGACCTTCAAGATGGTAAAGAATGTGCAAGCTGGGACCTGCAGGTGCCCCGTATATGTAATCCTGTGAAAGAGCGCTTCCACTGGATCTTGCTCTATGAGAGGTTGGCACAAGCCTCTTGCTGAAGGTATGTCTGGCTCTTTCACAGTAAATATGACATTGTATACTGACTCAGAGCTGACAGATAAAGATGTTAAGTATCAGTGGAAGAGGGCTCTAAAGTGGGAATCCTTTCCCAGACAACAGGCTTACTAGGCAGACAAAGGGCTGCCATATTCTCAATTAAAATTATTTCCACCATGTTTGAAGAGTTGCACTGGGATTTGATGGGAATGTTAGATGGGAGTGGATGTTTTTGGGTTGGACATAAATACAGAAAAATGCCGTGGATGAAGAGCCAAAAACTGAATATTAACGTAAGTCAGGTAACTCAATAGCCTTCATGCAAATACAACTGTCTCCAGAAATAGCTGGAAGGCCAAAAGGCATTCAGCTAAAAACCCTCCATTTGCAGTGTAAGGAAAGAATTGTGATTGCCCAACACGGGGCATGAGAAGTCCTAATTCCTATTAAGGGGATTTCACTTTTTCAGATATTCAAGAAATATCAACTGGAGAAAGAATGTGACTTCTTTGAGCAGATTATGGCTTGGCCTTTGTTTTGTATCAATGTTCCTATCATACTCTTCAGGACATTCAAACTGCGCATAAGATGAACAAAAAAGTACATAGTTCACTTGGAAAGTTGTTTCTACAAGGTATGTAGTTTAAAGCACAAAGCTAGATCTGACAAACTGCAATCCTTATACAAAAATCCTCCCAGTATTTTAAACCAGGCAACAAAATGCAGATTTACCTGAGGTGCAAGAATTACATACAGCTTCAAAAGTGGGTCTCTTTTCAGCAGCACACAGGAATGCAAAAATATACTTTTATGTTGAATATTTGGTCTATGATAATTTTAAGAAAAATATTACTCAAGAACAAGAGTTGATACACGTATTTGCCAGTTCTTTGCAACCCAATCTTAGACAACAAGGTTTATATCCACATTGTACAAACAGGATCAGACCTTCCATTACAGAACTGTAGTGTTTTGCTCTATACATACTACAATCACAGCTTAGTTTGGTAGCTTCCATCATTCATTATCCTCAAGAGATGTACAGCAAGGAATTCAAAATTTGCATCTTCATACCTGGAACACATGAACAAAAATTCTGTTGCGGTAACTCAGTCACAACAGATGTTAAAACAGTATCTATGGAAATGTTTGGAAAGATTTTGAGGTCCTAGGTATAAATAGCTTCTTAAAAAGCAAACTGTGGCAAACCTGAAGATAAACATTGAGCCTAGTTACATGTTGTGTATCATAGGGCTACCATGAAAAAGGGGCACTGTCATGCTTAGTCCTCATTATAACATGAGGAAGCACTTACCTAGCAGCACAACATCCATGTATTACAAATTACTCTCCCTCTTAAAAGTGAAAGAAGTTTGGTGGGGTACTAAATCAAAGCCCTAGTTTTCAAGTTCCTGTTAACAGATTTAACCACATCATTTCCCACAGCTGATCTTTGTTAAAAAGCGATTAATGTTAACTGATTAATGTTACATGATCAAACATCTTAATGAAGGACACACACTTGGAAAACTAAGTAAGGAAACACTGCCTAGGCCAGTCCATCTTCAAATATACTATGACAGATTCAGAGCACTGTTAACAATAAACACTGATTGGAGTATGCCAATGCACAAACACTGGGCAGTATCCAACACAACACTGACTGGCACTAACATAAATGGCACTGCACCAGAGAAAGCTAGACCTCTAGTGCAACAACAACACTGTTAGATGCCTTGATGTTTTCCTGGAAAACCCACCAGGCCAAGTAATGTAACTGTGCTAGAGCTTCTTTACATCAGCCAAACACAAGCATGAGTGCTGTTGTCACATTAGTCACTGCCTTTACAAACATTTAAGGAAGCAGTGCTAGAAGAAAGCATTAGGGGACAACCTTGATCCCTGGAATATCATGATCACTGGTCATAAAACAATTTATCTCGAGGGGCCCAGTAAGAGGAGAAGGTAATTCAGCCTGATATTTATATATCAGAGTGGATCCTCTCTCACATAGCTCCTATTTCTCCTTAAAATGAGAAATTGCAAAGACTGACTATTAAACCATTGAGAAAAGTATCGCCAACAGCTTCCCCGCTTTGCCTAGCTTGCAGGATGACAAAAGAGATTTTAGCTGCTTGTCATTCCAAGCATTTCCACTTAGACGCCATCATCTTCCACCAGTAACAGTAGCATCATACAGGGTGTTTAGGTTCCTGTGCGTTGTGCATTAAAGAGAAAAGGCTTTTACATTCCTAAATAAATCACGTGTGCATACGCATGTGTGTGCACGCACACAGCTGGTGTGGAGGTTAAAGTGCTGGATGGGGAACCAGGGAAATACTGGTTTAGTCCCCATTTGATCATGAAGTTCACACTGGGTGACACAGAGCCCATCATTCACTCTCAGCCTGACCTACCTCACAGGGTTATTGTGAGGATAAAATGGAGCTATGCTACGCAAGCTCTCAAGGAGAGAAAAGATGAAATAAGTGCAATATAATAATAATATTTAAATATGGTTTACCATTCACTGCAGCCAAATCATGTTCTTTTATCATTCGGTCGATTTTGTGCATTACCAATAAAGCTCTCATAGCTTCTCTTTTGTATCATGGTGCTAGACAAGTGTTGATATGATACTGGCCTTTTTCCTAATAAAAGCAATTATTAGGACACATTAATAATAAGGCTTGAAATAGTCACAACTTATTTCAGGAACTTGTGATTTGTACAGCACATCTTCTATCACTGCTCAACTTCAATACATACTTTATATACTTTTTACAACTGTATGTTGATCATTCTCATGAAACTCAATAACATAATAAAACTTACCATTGTAAATTTCTCTTCAATACAATGGCGAGAAGAAAAATGTAGCAATTTATTTCAGACTATGACACTTAAAGAGAATATTCGGATAGTCACATGCACTTAAAACAGACATGCCTGAAATATGAAATTAGTTACATGAGCTCAAATAGCCCTTGCTTGCTTTCTCCTCAAAACTGCAATACCCCTTTCACATAGCCAACTGCTTTTGAAACAAAGAGTAATTTCAAAATCTGTTTCTGACAGGACATGAAAGTCAGCTGTTAAAAAAGTCAAAATTCCACCAGGACAACACAGATTTTTTTTTTGTATGAGCCTAAAATTTTGATCCTAATCTAATATTTTACAAGTTACCAACTTTTGTTTTGAACATGAATGATTTGCTAGCTTTATAGCCAGTTGTTCCATTACAAAGGTGACTGTAAAAGAGTGGGGAGACCTTATGCTGGAGAGAATGAACACAGAAATCTGGTCCTATTACAAAAAAGAAAGACTATTGACAGACTACTTGATTCAAATTGGCTCCAGTAATCATGTAGCATAAATCCTGATCTGAAACAGTGAAGCACTTTCAATGGAAGTTTGACCAATTTGAATATGAATTAACTCAAGAAATATATGAAGCAAAACCCCCAAACTCCATGAATACAACTATGAAATCTAGACTACCATGTTTCACAGCTAGTTGTTCACTGTAAGAGCTACTTAACATACTGGCTGTTTCTCCCATCCACACACACTTCCTCTCTATTCCTTTTGCCTCCTGTCATATAGTTTGTAAAGTCGATGGGCAGAGATTTATTTTTTTTAATTAACTGCATGTGAGCCACCCTGTAAGCCTTTCTGGCTGAAGATCTGGGGAAAATGCTTTAAATAAATGAATATACAGGCATGTAGAAGCAATGCAGGAGAGATCCAAATAAATGGGAAAAGTTTCACCAATACAGCAGAATGCAACAATGCAAATATGGTGGCATAATCTCCAGTACCACCCTGCCTTATTCTCATTGTTTTTGCATTCCTAGTTTGGAACAGTGTGGGATGGAATGAAGGAAGAGCAACTACACCATTTAATACCTATGTCAAGTGAGTCCTTGCTGTGACTAGTACACTCCCTTGTACAATTTATGTGTTGCACTGCTCAGCAGCAACCATTTTTATTTAAGATGTAGTCACCTTCTTGGATAATCTAATGTCCCTGGGCCTCACCCCCAAAGTAGCATCCTCTGGGATGCTGTTGCTGCTCATGAGTCATTCTAGGAAGATTAGGATGGGAGTAGCTCCAGCTGCCCGGCCTGGTTGCATCACCATCAGGCTGAGAAAGCACAAGGAAGCTGGAGATGCTACTCGCTTAAGTACTGCCTATTTATTTGCTTCTGATTATTGGCTGCCTGCTGCTTCCAGGGCCAATTCCACACTAGTAACCTGCTCAAAGGGGAGACCAGCTCCTCTCAAAATTGGCTGTAGCCTTGGATCTGGGCTTGTAGGCCTTTGGCAATTTATCTCTACATGCAGTCATGATGCACACACAGTAGGGCAACAATTTTTGAGAAGCAAACATTGGTAAAGTAATTACAGCCCACAGTTCACTGAAATGCCCAAACATTTCCCTAGTAAATGCATATATTTCCCTTAACTGACATAGTTTGGAATAATTCATCAAGTTATTCTTCCAGCCTTTTGCAATCTCCTCTCTGCCCACCATACACATATAGTAAGAAAATGTGCCCAGGATTTGTGATTCTTCCCAACTTTACAAAGTAAGATAGTGGATCCCCACACCTAGCTTCCACAACACAATGATGCATAACAAAGGCAGCAATTGGCCCTCTCTTCCAGAGCACACACAATGGATGAGCTGACCCCCGACACCTGGAAGTGGCTATACATGAATGTGGCTGCATAAAATAAAATCCAACTATCCAGCTGCTCCAAGCGGAGTACTGGGGAGAAATTTATCACAACGCAAAATTCCTAGCTTCAGGAAAATAAAGGTGATCAGACACCCCGTGCTTTTGCTTTAAGTACTGGGGAATGGTCAGCAAGTACTGCAGAGAAGGAAAAATCAGTGATTCTTCTCATTGCAACCCTACACAGTGCCTGAGCAGAGGGTAAGGAAGTTTAATGAGACCCAAGGCAGTGTTCACAGCACGTGCAGCTCTGACTTCCAGCAGAGCAGCACAGGCAGCAACTCACAAAGAATTGCTGCTGCTCTGCAGCATCTGCTGCCTGAGGTGATTACCTTACTCTGCCTAATGGTAGGACTGGCCCTGTGTGTCAGGAAATGTTCCATCTCTAACTCAGGTCTCATGACATTTTTGTATGTACTAAGTTTTTAAAAATATCTTTAAAAATAACCCTTTAAAAAAGTGCAAACACAATCCATTATATCCGAATTGCCAGGAAAAGGGGTAGGGTGGGGTAGGAAATTGGGTGTGTTTAGAATTTTCAGTCAAAATTTGCTCATATATGATACTTCCCTGCTTACAGCAAGAGGTAATCAAGTGACACAGACACCCTTCCAGCATAAAACCAGTGCTTGGATACATGCATAGTCTTAACCTGCATGTGAACACTTCTCAATGTCTAATCCTGAAAATATGCATTTTCCATACAAAATAAGGCCCAGGTTAGATTAGAAATTCCCATCATTACTGCTAGCTCTTGTTGGGTTTAAGAAACAGTGAGAGTATCAAAACAGCTGCTGCCGCCCAATTGCAGGTATAATAAAAACCTAGATCTTTGTTATTTTCTATGGTAAGTTATTGTTAAACCATCCTGAGACCTTGGTAAGGGATAGTCTAGAAAAGTTTTAAATAGATAAAAACAAATAAGATTCAATCCCACCAAAGGGGTAAGAAAGCTCTAACAAAAGCTAGGAGTTTGTCCTGTGTTCGGGCATGTGCTGACTCTGGCAAGTCTGGCTCATCTGAGCTACCCAGACTTCCTGCCAGCTTCTGATCTGATGACTGGAGAGGGCAAAGTCAGTTTTCTTTTCCTACAGACGTCTGTCTCTGAGATGAGCTCTGCCCTGAGATTTTTTTAAACATTAAGGAAATTTAAGCAAATTGCAAAAGAACTCTGTTTCCAACTTTCAATTTGCACAAAAAATGCAAAGTGTGTGATTTGGGCAAATTTCTTTAATGTTGGAGCTGTACGTCCATGAGCTGACTTGACTTGCACAAGAGCTGAAAATCCATGAGATCTTTATGCCCTTATATTTATGGAGTAGCTGTGTGCTACTCCAGATTATTTTTTTCCTTTTCTATGAAGGGCACCTCACACTTCAGCACTGATGAAGCTAAGAAGACATGTGCCTGACCAGTACTTGGCTGGGAACACTGGTTAAGATTCTATGCCTTAGCACCACCTAGGTTACTTCAATGGAAGGTCACAAGGGGAATCCCTATAAGCTATTCAAAGCTTCCTAAATAGATGAGTGCAAGTAAAGTTTACACAAAGTGGTAGTAGCTGGTACACTGCAATCAAAGGGTGATTAGGACACAAGCCAATTCACTCCTCCCCCACTAGTTTCCCATTTTTGTTTTTCAACTAAACATTCCCTGGTTTCTACTAAACCAGATACTAAACATTCTCTGGTTTCTGGGGACCACAGAACATATTCACTGGGCTGTTTTGGGGATATACCCCACATTTTAAAAACTGCTTCAACAGATACCAGGATGCATCCAAGTGTTCCAAAACCTCCCCTCTTATTTTTCAGAACATGCATTTTATCTCTAATCCAGTCAGCCACCTGTATTTGCTATTACAGGGAACAAATCAGCTAGAACTGAAATGTGGAAATGCTAAAAGTTCAAGTATTTGGGTGCTAGATTTGTGATTCAACACTGGAAAACACAGAGATATATGAATGAAAAAGTACAGCTTTTTGAAGTAATGGCAGAACAACCCATGTTGGAATAATTTCTTTAATATGTTTAGGAAGCCATGTTGTGGTTACTAGATGATGTCTAGAATATCATAGAGTCCCAGCTCCAACCTCAGAAAAGGGCTCTCTAGTCAGAGCTAGACTCTGACCCCAGAAAGCCCTTCCTCTACCTCACACCTGATGTATTTCTTGCCAGGCCAACTGCAGGTGGGCTTTTTGGAGAACAGAAAGGGAGAAGTGAGGCTCTTTTAGGAAACTCTGGCCCCTCCTTCCTGTAAGCAAAAGCAAAAATCCACCTGTACCTTTTGTTGGGCATGAAAAATACCCAACAAGAGGCAGTTCTTGCCCCATGTTCCTCCTGGGCTCAACTGGATGCCTATATTCAGAGGGTTACAGGCAGCCAAATTGGACTTCACACTCTGTATAAACAGAAGTAACTAAAACAGGAACTATTGATACATTTTTTTAAAGGTGTACTATTATGCAGCTAACAATAATGGTCAACCATTTTAATGCTTCCAGACACAGGAAATAAACCCAGGAAAATGCAATCATCTGCATGTTGCAGGAAATAGGGGTGAAGGAAGTAGGGGGAGGTAAATTAAGATACACTTAGGTTTGGTGAATGCCCAGCGAAGTTCTGGTTCTTTTTCCCATGGCCAGCAGTGCTGCTAAGAACATTATAATTTGATTCAACAAGCAAAGAGCATTACTTTCTTTTAAAGGATTTTTCATCCTATAATTATTAAATGCTGAGGGATAGACTGTGTATACCTTCTTTTGAAGAACTGGGGACTTGACTGCTACTTGATCCACAGGAACTGTAAAATGGCCCAGGACCATACGTTTCATATGGCTTTAGAATAGTTACTGGATTTATAGCATCTACTTCAGAGCTCACGAGCCCTTGTTTGGCTGGCAGGAAAGAGGTGGCAGGTTTGGTGTGTGAGCATTCCTGAGGTAGCAGACCTGCATATCTGCCTGCAGTATGTAATCTGCCAGCATCGCTCCCTCTTCGATACAGGGCAGAGTCAATCTGTTCTGCAGCCATGTGATTAGGCTTCGCTCTTTTAGAAGGCAGTCCATCAAATTCCAAGTTTATATTCCCAGCAGGTCTGTTACTGAGAAACTCTATTCCTCGATTGCTTGACCAAGCAGCTTCGTTCAACGGAGTCTCAAGAGAGCCATTGATGTTGCTACTTGCTACGCCTAATTGAGAAGCCGAAACTCTTGCTTTAGGATCCAGCTTTTTCCCTCTATCCTGTGTTTGAGTGCTATTAGGACTGTGGTGCATTTCATGCTGTTGTTTAGAGCTATTCATCTGAACTCCAATCATCTGTGGTTTGCACGATTTCAAGTTACTTGGCGCCAAGCTGCTGGAGTTTAATCCTGAAAGGGCGGGTGCTTTGCTCTGTAGAGCAGGAACCTGTTTAGCTTTTTCCATGTGCAGGGATTTTGACTGTGTCAACAGGGAAGACTTGATTTTCCCTGAGTTAAGAGGCAGTGGGAGAACATCCTTGCCCAAAAGACATGGTGGGCATCCAGTACGTCTGGTTTTAGGAATTGTCCTATTTTTATTTTTATTAACAGTATTGGGGTTACTGGGGAATTTATGCATCAACTGTCGATGTATTATTAGAACTTCTGGATATAATGTCCGGTAAGTACAAAAAGGACAGGTGCTGGTTGCTAAAGAGCCTTGAGAAACAGAAGCGACTGGAGCATCCTGAGAAGAGCCAGTAGATAAATTTAATGGCTTCTCTTGAACTACTAGTCTGCATTTTGAGTTTTCTGCAATGTCACTTAGAAGCTCCACATTTGTTCTTCCTTTTAAAGCACCAGCATATAGAGTAGTTTCTGGCAAAACAGAATTCTTTTTCTCAATCCTATCTACAACAAGACTGTTTGCCTGACGTTCCACTGTGCTTTTTTCCCATATTATGTTTTCAAGGCAGGGCACTGATATACCCTCATTTGAGCCATCACAGTCTGTACCTTTGCTCGTGTCCTGAGTTATACTTTTCGGTGTGCTTTGAAAGGAGGAGAGCATTTCTTTCTGCTGTTTTACAGGAGGGCCTCCTTTAGTATCTTTGGCATCTTCAAGAAGCCTTTTCAAATTTTTGGTTTCCGGAGCACGATTGCTAACTGGCAAGAGGCCCATCTCCTGAAAAGGTGGCAAAACCTTGCTGTCGTTTTTTAATTCTGTAGTAGTTTCTATGTTTTTGTCCTTGTGATGTCTCTCCAAATGATACCGCAAAGATGTTTTCTGGGCTGCTGCATACTCACAAAATTCACATTTGTATGGTTTTTCACCTGAAAAGAGTTGTGAATTAAGAATCAGAACAATCTTCATTACCCTCTTGTACAAGAATTTGCATCATGTTCTTCTTTCCCATTCCCATAAAACACGCTAGCAAGATCAGTGCTAAAAGTCAGAACTGGGTCTGTTAACTATACTGATATTTAAGATACAAGTTTCATTTTCAGAAATTAAAAGTAATAGACCTGGAATTTACTCCCAGGTAAGGATGTAAGGCCTACAGCTCATTCATTCATTCCTTAAGTTCCTTTAATTTCCATATATTTCCCAAATTCCAATGAGCTGGATCATAATTCTGAACATTTGGAGTTCATCTGGAGGTCTTGGTTACTACAAAGCAGACAAATTGCATGCACTAAGTTGTTTCCTTGAAGCATAACACCACACAAGTCAAACAGTTTCTTTCCATAAGTTTCCCTCCACTTCAGGTTTTGATCTTCATTGCAAGATTTTGTTTTTTACCTGTGTGAGTTCTGAGATGAATATTGAGGTAATAGTTTGAGCGGAAATACTTCCCGCAGTAGCTGCATTCCCTGGAGGCCCCAAGGTTTTTGACTTTTGCTCTTTCCATGCCATCTTCACTTTTATCTTTAATTTTTTTTTGTGGGGGGGAGAGCACAAAAGAAAATATACATTATAAAAGTATAAAACACATGAACAAAATCCAGGCATGTTTTGCATCCATAATAACAATAGCGGACTACCACTATCAGATATACACACAATGTGTATCTTATCCTTCGTTCCTTGCATCTCTTCATGGCCATGTGATACAAAGATGTGAACTTAATCAACTGTGTTGCCCTATGCCCCACATTCTAACTGCAACAGTAAATGAGGTAGTTTGAGTTTGTTAACTGCAAGAGAACAAAGCTACTCCACAAATATATAAATTCTTTTCCCTTGATGATTCCCAGTTTTTTCAGTACATCCCCCTGAAAACAGTGAGATATCCTTCAGTCGAGCTGACATCCCATAGTTAAGGACTGTACCATAATGTTTTAAGAATATGTTGTGCTGATGCTTTATGGTTTGATTTCAAGTTGCAGTTCACTTTTACAGCTGTGCTGGAAACACTTATTTAAGTCTTGAGAGATATGGTTGCCATTTTCTTAGTCACCAAACAATCCTGAACGAGCACTGTTCTAAGATATTTTAGGGGGAAAACATGGGTGCAGTTCCCAATGGAACCAAGATGCCTGATAACTTCATTGCATCCAAGTCATGTTGAGTTTAAGAAAATTCCAGCTAAGTTATAAAGCACATGACAGTGAAATACATTTGTTAAAAAACTACAGTCTTTTCCTCCTCCCACCCCACCACTACCTTTCACATATTACTGTTTGGAAGAAATGAGATTTATTTTGGTGCTTGAAAACCTGGGAAATGGTCTCCAAATATAAGTCTTGCAAACAGAGCTGAAAGATTTAGAACCAATTCAGCACAGCTATAGGACATTAGCTTAGCCAACATACTGGCTTAGCTTTTCAAGATACATTCCAGCTGCTCCCACAGCATACAAAACTTGGGAGTTACTGGTCTACAAGTACCATACGGGGGTTGATCCTTTATAATCTGAAAAGCAGGAAATATAGCAAACAAATATTAGGAGAATTTTAAGTGTGATGGTGCATGTTAGAGTTATAAATTTGATAAACCATCATTTCAAGTTGTAACTATGACTACAGCATCACTGACAAAACAAAATGCAAAGCTAGGTTTCTAAGAGCCACAAACCCGATACACTACACTGAACAAGTTAAAACATGTCCACTGAAACTGCCTGCTTAGATGGACAGTGTTAAAGTAATTTTTAAATCCATCTTCAAGATGTTTCCATTCCTTAAAAAAGATTTTTAAAAGGTGTACTGGGTTTAATATTGCAATGTGTGAGTTAGGAGCACCTTCATATTTCATTTACTTACATAACCTTTCATAACTTTGTAGCAGAATTCAGCTTTTAAAAAGCTGTGCTTGAGAAAGAAATTCACTCTCATGACGGAATTCCAAATTACTCAAACGGTAGCTCACTTTTGTGCCTCTGCTATCAATTGCAGGAGAATGATAAATGAAGGACAGAAAATTTTAGCAAAGGTTATGCTATTATGTTTACCATGTTTATAGCATTAATTTAGGTATGTGATCTTAGCACATGCATGTCTGCCTAATTGTAATTATTTTATTTGTAATTATTTGTGTTTGTTACTTGCCTCCTTGCTTTTAATTCATTTTAACTACCATTTTAATTGTGGTAATAGAAAAATTATTTTAAATTGTTGTGTTGGTCCACATTGGCTTATGCTCATTTATGATCATATTAAATTGAATTGAAAAATTCACTGTCATGGGCATGTTTTTCCATAAACTGAAATGTTTTATTTGGGGGATCTTTTCTGGTTATGTGCTTTTCATCTCAATGGGTAGCAATTGTTCATCTACTAAGCTAGTCAAAAACGTTTTGAAAGAACAAAGGTGTTTTTCCCAGACTCGTATTTGCAGTTCTCAAAAACTACCACTGGAGGGCAGCAAGCACAGCATTATACTCACCAAGGGGTTTTTATAATTGCATTCATGAGATACCCAATTTTGGTTACCAGGAATGATTGCAAAATGGTGGTTAGTGCAGAAATACTAGACAGAAAACATAACTAGCCTTTTATAACAAGGAGTTACTGAACCTAAAACCTCTCAAATTTTTCACTGTATTTGGAAAATGAACACTTATAGCAACATGCTGACCATAGCCCTGTATTTCTTCCTATAATGCTTATCAGTTGAGTATCACATGGCAAAGAAGTAGCAACTTTCAGCTGAAACTCAACTGAAGCAACGGTACATTCAGGAGCAACGAAAAGGAAGTATTAGTATTAGGTAAGACCACTCCTTGGTTTCCATAAAAAGCTGTATAAGCAAACAAAGTTTAAAAAGAAACAATCTTTTTGTGACTATTTCTTACCTAAAGTCTCTAGTAGTCCATCTTCTGAGCCATCTTCAGAGCCTCCCTCCACTCGTTCTCCTGATCCATGCTCATCCAGAGTCACAACTTCTGGAAGACATGTTCTTGGCTGCTTTCCTTCAGTGGAACCGGCCTCTAAGTCATTTTTTCGGTCTCGCTTATGTACTCTTGAGTGAAGGACTAGCTGGTGGTATGTTCGAAAGGCTTTGCCACACTCTGAACAATGTGTAGGTTTATCTTTGTTCTGGGACAATTTAGGATCTATCTCCATAGAAGGCACTTCACGGCAGGGATATTTGCATTTGTCTTGTGGCATGTTACCAACCCCTGCATAATTTCCACTTTTGCTTGCCTTGCTCTTCCCAGTGTTTTCAGTTTGGCTCACTTTGTTCACATTCCAAATTTCCCCAAGATCTTCCTTATCAGAAGAGGAGTCATCATTGTCTGTACTTCCCTCTTGCCCTGGTTCTTTTGTTTGCCCATGGCCAATAGCAATTTTACCTTTGGTAGCCAGTTGCCATGCCTGGTATGTACTGAATGGATCTAACTCTCCTATCCATTTCACAGGCTTTTCTTGTTTGTTACTGCCAGGAGGCAAACATGGTTTTAAATTTAAGAACCGCAAAAACTCTTCTCTGGGCGACCTGCTTCCTTTGCCACTTCTGTCAACTTGTGAGCCATCACCACTGGCTACTGAATCTTTGGTATGTACTTTGCTATGCTCAATTAAACTTTCCTTATTCTGAAATAGGAAGCCACAAACCATGCAGATTTTATAAGGCGACGTAATGCTCTCGGTTACTTGGTCCTGTACAACCTCGTTTATTGTTATAGGACTCTCGGATCCTTGAGTAGTCTTGCTTCTAGAGCCAGGCTTACCAGTATGTGTTCTCATGTGATTTTTGAGGAACCAAGGCTCCTTAAATCTCCTTCCACACACGCTGCACCAATAAGTGAAAGAGTCTTTATGCTTCCGCATGTGGGCCTCAACATCAAAACCTTCATCAAAAGTTTGCCCGCAAACCACACAGCTGAAATCTTGGTTATCCTTTTCATTGACATTGGATGATGGCAAGTCTGCTTTTGCTTGTCCTTTATCAAGATGGCTAAGATATTCTGCTTCTACACGTAGAACTGCTGGTTCACAAAGTGTGGGTCTGTGTTGTGTTAAAACATGTTTACCAAGATCTTCTGGATGTTTGAAAGTCTGATCACAAAACATACAATCCAAAGGCATGCATCCTTCTCCATGCATCAGAAACTTGTCTTGCAAGTTCTTGTACGAGATTGTGCTGGACCCTTTTATTGGCATAGTGGCATCATTGTTCTCCATACGTGAGCCAACAGTACTGGCTATTCCATCTGGCCCATCCATATATGCTAAGAGAGGTTGAGTAGGCATATTTCCTTTGTTGCTGTTATCATGAATTAGGGAGGCTTTTACGTTAGAAACAAGGCCACTTCAGTATTTTCCAACCTGTTTGCTTACAAATGCTGGAGTCCAGACAACTCCTTCAAGAGACATTAGTTGAATGTTTTTGTGCATCTGCAGATGTAGCTAGCCACACATGACATGACACAAGCTATTTAGAAAGGTGTTCATTAGTTCTCCCACTGAAAGTATAGAATTGCTTATGCTCCTCTCCAGTTCATTTAACTTGCCTTCAGAAAAGCTAGTACATTTGTATCTCCACATGTAATAATTCAATAGTTCTTCTTAATCATAAAGAAATATGGAAATGGCTCAGCAGCACCAAGAAATTCATCACCTAAGAAAAGGGAAGTTAAACACAAATGTTAACCAAAGAAACAAAATAGATGCAATAAAATAGTTCAAGAACAAAAGCAGCACTTAGTATGCTTTAAATGTTACCAAATAAAGTGATTTAATATGTTGATAAGTATCCTTGGATATTCTAATGGCAGATAAAAGCTGTCTCCTTCCTTTTAAAAGTCTTCCACACACACCCCTTCACAAGCACAAATATAATCAACATTATTTTTTTCTGGATTTTAAAGATGACTTTCAAAAAGGTTTACAGAAACTGGCTAAAAATTAGTTCTATGTCAACCATGTTTAAGGACATATAATGCAGCTACTGAATTCAGATTTCAACAAATATTTATCTTGAAAATGATGCAACTATCAAAGGAAATTACTAATCTCTGCAAGGAAACTGCCTTAGGGAGTTACTGCAACATTCATATTATCTTTTAAACTCGCATGCAGGAAACTGCCTCAAAGAAATGAATCGAGTAAGACAATAATTATGCTCTTCCATTTCATGAATTCTAAGATTCTGCATTTTTAATGTGAATTAATAATAGCAAGATTTCACTCCTCTATGAATGCTGATGCCCTACTTCCTTCCTTTGGCTTGCTTTATACATGCCCTGGCTTCAAAAATGATTTTTTTTAAAGCATGGTTTGAACCACCCCTTAACAAGTACCTATTCATGGCAACATGAATCTTCAGTTATGGATAGTGCCCATCTAGCAGCCATTTTGAATATATACTGCTCCCTCAACAGCCAGCCATTTGAAGAGTTTTCACTTTCTGGATTACTTAACAGGACATCAATACAGAGCTGTAAAATAAGAAATTAACTGTTAAACTGAGTCCTTATGCATGAAATGCATGAGCACATATATTTTTGTGATTCATTGTAAATATTAACCTCTTTAATCTCAAGCATTAGAGAGAGAAAAGATAATAATTTTGATTCTTTTTGCTTACTGGTACAGCAGACATAGCAAGTCAGCTTTTAAGGTACTCCTATTACAGCAGGATCCTATATTTGCAGGGTATAGGATCCAAGCATTTCAGCATATGCCTGAAACTGCAGATAGTAACATACACTACATTTGTGGGGATTAAAGGCACAGGACCCCCACAACAGAGGAAAACCCACAAATAACTCTAGAGTCTTCACACTCACTGAGAGACAAAACATGTGAAGCTGGCTAATACAGAGACAAAGAGCCTGGTGTCCCCAGACACTATGCATCATTCCATAGAGATATTAATTGCTGCTCCTAGAGATAGTCATAGTTTTTCTACTTTCATGGGGGTCCTGTACCCCTAACCCCCATGTCTGTGTAGGGACAGATAACCTTGGTTAAGTAAAACCATGGAAACTGAGGCAGTGTATAGGGGGGGCCCTGCTGTATTTCTGAAAAATAGAAAGCTAAACAGTTTGTTAAATGAAAGGAGCAAAGACAGTAAGTTTGCAACAACATATAGCATTTACAGAAGGACCCCCATATATCTTGGTTCAGTTACAGCATTTTCATTTAACCCCAGATGACCTTGTCCAAAAGAGAAGTCATAAAGTAATGAAGAGAAGTTGCAAAGTGCCAAAGAGAAGTTGTACAATTCTTTAAGTGAAAAATTCTTGATTTAATAGGAAAAGAAAAAAAAAAGTATGCTGAGGTTGCTAAGATGTATGGTAACAACATATCTGTGAAATCATTAAAAAAAGAGAAATGTATACATACAGTATAGAGTGTTTGCTATTATTCGCTGTTTCAGACATCTGCTAGGGGGTTCCCCCATGGATGTGGGGGTCCTGCTGTATATAGCATTTTCAAGTGTTCAAGGTTCTTCAGTTTCAATGCAAACCTTACACAAAGCATTATTATCTCACAGTATAATTTAAATGGCAGGGGGACTAAGGCTGGACAGTGCATTTTGCAGAAATCCAGCTATTATTACTACTGCCACTCTCATCATCATTATGCATTTATAGCTTGCCTTTTTTCCTCTTGTGGTGAACCCATAGGTCTCCTTCATTCAGTTCTTATTCTCACAACGACCCACCTGTGAGAAGGGTTAGGTTGAGAGTCCATCACTGGCCCAAAGTCACCCAGAAGTCACCCAGGCTGAATAGGGACCAGAAACTGGATATCAAAGCTCCCCAGTCCAACACCAATGAATTTACACAGGAGTACCAGGCCTGTCACTTGGTCGAAACCAGCACAATATATCAACATGTGCATTCCAACAATTAACTTCACCTCAGTTTCTGAGCCTTCTTACTTGTATTTTACAGGTAGCTCTACTTTTTATTCCTACCTAGGTGGGAAGAATTGTGCAACCTGAAAGGTAGCTTTCCTACTGGCTAATAAATCTGCTGCAACAAAAAGTATCGCTGGAACCACATGGAACACTCTCTTGATTTTTAATCTAAACATTATATAGCATATTCCTTCAGCTATTGTTTGGTGTTAAACCAGTTCCAGTGGTGACCGCCTTAGAGCTTAAGGCATCAGGGTTTGTAATTTGGAGGTACTCTTGGATCCAGCATAGTCAATGGAGATACAGATGGCCTTAGTGGCACAGATCACCTTTTATCAGCTTAGGCTGTTATATGAATTAAAATCCTTTCTGGATCAAGGCAGGCAAACTGTGTTTAACCACACTCAAGTAACCTCTTCTTTAGATGACTACAATGAGTCATACATGAGGTGCCTTTGAAAACAGTCTGGAAACGTAATGCAGGAAGACTGTTAAAAGGAACTGGCCTACATGATCATGCTAGCCACTGCTTTGTGACCTGCCCCACCTTCCAGTCATGCTCTCCACCAGTATTAACTTTCAAAGCCCAAAGCAAGGAGCTATTGGGCAGTACAGAACAAACAGACAAAGGTTTAGGACCAAGCTATATAAAGAACAGCCTCCTTCCATATATGCTTTCATGGACCTCAACGTTATCTTTAGAGACCCTTTTCTGAGTGACTCCACCAAATGAATTGAGGCAAGTAAGTACCAGGGAGAAAGCCTTTTCCATGATGGCAACCTAGTTGTGATAAGGCCTCCTTAGTACTGCCTAGCACAGGTAGTGATGTCTTTAAAGAACCAGTTAAAGGTCTTTAAAAGAAATTCTCCAAGGCATTTTAGTCATTCAGTTTAAAAAGTTTTAGCACTTTTTACATCTGGTACTACTACTGTTTTGTTTTCCTTCCCCTTTTTGTTATATTCATTTTTTTTCCTTTAAAAAATTTAAAGGTATTTTACATCGTGTATTATTGTGTTTTTAGCAGCAGAGTTTTTAGGAGTAGCAGAGTTTTAAGCTTTACTCTGAAAATGACCCAGAGTGTTTCATCTATTGGATAGTATAGAAATGTAATATTTTCATTTGTGCTCTCAATCCTCCTTGCAACATTATACCTCTGCAAGGCAGTGAAACTAGGTTTGCACATAGCAAGAGTCCACCATGCGTGAATTTCCCAAATACCCAGTACCAGTCACCATTTTGAATATTGAAGCCCTATTGGGTGCCATAACTTGTTATACTATTGGAATACAGTGTGACTAAGTTGTTGGGGTGATGGATAAGCTGTTCAGAACTCATGGGCTGTTTTTAGGTTTGTGGGTCACTTGTTAACTACCTCAATATGCCATCCTTACTAGGGATACACACTACAATGAGCTATGTTGTCCCTCCATCATGGCTCAAATATTCAAGACGGCAACCAATGAAATTACATGCAAGCCAGGACCATGCCATAAAACAAGGTAGCTTAATGGGAATCAAAGCTAGTGTTTTAGCAGTTCCCCAAATGGATAATTTTGCCCATTAACTTTTTAAAAGACCTAGTTCTGCCTATCTGAAGTTAGCTGTTTGCTGACAATGAATCCTGATTAACACAGCAACAGATGCATAGCCCAGAACTTCTGTGGCAAAATGGCAGTCACCACATCCTGATGTAGAACTGGGTAAAAAAAAATCAACTACTCGCTTATTAAACTATGCAAAATAGCTTGGCATAATATCAGGTTTTCTAGTCTCAACTATCTCATGCTGTAGTTGTAAAATAAAAATTGACATGAGCCCTCACAGAGTTTAAGGAAAAACAGCCTGGGTTATTGCGTCATATGAACTGGCCAAGGTCATATAGTGCATGTCACAGCAGGGGGAAACAATGAGTCTCCCCTGTCCTAATCTGACATTCCTGCTACATCTTGCTGGTTTACTCACTTAAACCACCAACACCTTCAAAAGCATTATGTCTGCCAAGCATTAGCTCCTTGATGCCTTTCCTTGTATTTTCTAGTCCTACACCTGGTGACACCACTCCTATGCACAATCAATCAATCAATCTCACTATTTTAAAATTGTGCACAGTGATAGAATGTATAATTGCTCCCAAACTTTCAATGACCTTAGTAAATATATAGGACCATTACAAACTCACAGTTGTTTTACAAGTTCTGATTGTCATGGAAGTAAAAACCAAAGAGTTTCATTTCAACTGAGCATAGATTTCTATGAGGACCCTTTGAAATCTTAGATCAGATTTTCCCATGGGGACTATTAAGTTGAGAAACTCTGTTTTTCAGTAAATCAGTGTGAGATAAAGCCCCTTAAAATCAAGTTGCCACATGTACACACACTCCATTAGTAGCTCATACTCCTGACTGCTCCATTTTAACAGAGCGCAGATGACAACTAACTTAAAGGGGGAAAGATATGAAGACTAAAATGATCAGACAGCACTTCAAACTCTCTCCTACACTTCCCAGACAGAAAGCTTTTAGGAGCAGAAGCTGAACTTTTTATGTGGAAATGACACCCAAGTACATCATAGGCTCTACTGAAAATTGAAGCTTAGACAATAAAGCAACACAAGAATTTCTTATAGCTTCAGGATCTAGTGCTCAACTTAAACAGATACAGTAAGCCACTCTCCCATTAAAGAGAGTGGAAAAAACTTAGAATAATGAAAATGCTTATATGAAACAAAGTACATGCCAAAACTTTGTGTGCCCTGTTTTTGTTTTAATTGCAGCTGGAAAATCCAAATTCTGCAATATCTATAAATTCTGCAAATTGAAGAGTTTATACTGGCTTTGTTCATTATATGGGGGTGAAGGGTTTTGATATCTTGGTTCCATACCCCCATGGCCATCTCTGTACTTACAAGTGGATCTTGAAAGAATCACTGTATACTCTTTTCAGAATGACTTTCTTAGGAAAACTGAATTCTGTGCTCTTTACCACACTATACATTCTTGACAAAATGAAGAGGCATAGGCAAAGAAGCAAACTTGCCAGGTTTCATTTGATTCCAAAGCCAGAACAAAAAAACATCTTATCAGATATAACAGTCTGTTTTGATACCTATTAATTTTTTTAGGGGTGAAACAACATGTGTATTATGAATTCAGTGATTTTTTGTTAAATCACCAGCCCATTCTCATAATAGGGTGATCCTTTTATATATATACGTAAGGTATGAAATTGTACCCAGTCCTGGAAATTTAACTTCTGCATAATGCGCTTTTTTGCATAATTACCTTACATCTGTGCATACATATAACATGCACCTGAACAATGTTTTTGCCTTTCCTTATTGTCACAGGTAACCAATCATTCATCTTTCTTTGAGAAATAACATTCAAATATTATATATGAAGGGTTATCCCACCAAATTACTAACTTCTGTTGTACAGATTGCCTTAAATAATGCAAGTTCTTTGGCTTCATATGTAACCAAAACATCCAAATTCACCCTATAGTCATCATATTCAACATCACCTAGAAAAAGGTGCTCAGAACATAACTTAGTGAAAAATTTCATTCTT